TGACAAGGATTTTGAAGTAGCCATCATAATAATGCTTCAGTGAGCAGTTACAGTCAGGAAATAAATGAAAAAATGAAATATCTTAGTGAAGAAATAGAAGATAAAAGAAAAGAACCAAAGGGAAATTATAGAACTGAAAAATACAATGAACAAAATAGAATACTCACTGGATGGGCTTAATAGTAGATTGGAGACAGCAAAGGAAATAATTCAAAAACATATCAGTAGAAATTACCAAATCTGAATAACAGGGAAAAAATTAACTGAAAAAGATGAACAGAGCTTCAGGGACCTGTGGGACTATGAGAATAGATCTAGCACTCATTTCATTGGAGTCCGAGCAGTAGCAGAGAAAAAGTGCAGTGCTGAAAAATGCTTGAAGAAATAAGGCCCCAAACTTTCCAAATTTGTCAAAAGGCATAAACTTACAGATTTAAGAAGCTGAGATAACTCCAAACAGGATAAATCCAACGACATCTGTACTGTGACAAATGATAATCAAACTTCTGAAAACTAAACACGAAAAAAAAAAAAAAGTATTGAAAGAGGCTAGAAAGAAACAACATATTCACTACAGGGAAGTAATCAGTTCAACTGACCGCAGATTTCTCATATGAAACCATGGAGGGCAGCAGGAAGGGGCACAATGTTTTTCAAGTGCTGAAGGAAAAGAACTATCAGCCATCGATTCCATACCCAGCAAAAGTATCCTTGAAGAATGAAGGGAAAATAAGGACATTCTCAGATGAAACTAAGCAAGTGTGTCACTAGCAGACATCCCCTTAAAGGAAGGCTAAAGGAAGTTCTCCAAACAGAAAGGAGGGGACAGAAGAAGGCTCGGAACTTCAGGAAAGAACAAACAACACAGTGGGTGAAGACGGGGTAAATAAAATAGACTTTCTCCTCAGAGGTTTCTTAAATCACATTTGATGGTTGAAGCAAAATTATAACACCCTATGGTGTAGTGCTCTATGTATGGAGAGGAAATAAGACAATTAGATTTCAAAGGTGGGGAAGGTAAAAGGATCTGAATGGAAATAAGGTATCTTCACTTCAAAGTGGTGAAATCTCACACTAGTAGACTGGTAAGTTAGTGTGTGTATTGTAACATCTAGAGCAAGCAGTAAGAATACCGTATGAAGCAATGTACTTAAAACATTATAGGTAAATCAAAATGAAATTGTAAAAAATGTTCGGGTAACTCAGAGGAGACCAAGAAAGGAAAAACAGTAGTTGAAACAGAGGGAACACACAAAACAAATAAAATGGCAGACTTATGCCCTCACATACCAATTGCTTTAAGTTGACAGACAGATTGGCAGAGTGGATTAAAACAAAGAAATGAGCCAATTGTATGCTGTCTACAAAACTCTTTTCAAACATAACAACACAGGTAGACTGAAAGTTAAAAACTGGGAAAAGATATACCATGTACGTATTAAGCAAAGAAAAGCAGGAACGGCTATATTAATATCTGATAAAGTCGACTACAGAGCAAAGGAAATTACTGAGGACAAAGGGACACTACAAAATGATAAAAGAAGACGTAAATGAATGAAGAGAACAAGCAAGAAAACCAGCATTTAAAAATATTACATGATTAAGCTCTTTTCCCTGTTGCCAAAATAAGAAAATGCCAACATTCCCTTGTAAATGGAGAAAGAGCCGGACAGTCTGTACAGAAAGATCGGCCACTTTATCTGCTGTAGCCTCCTGGCATCAGAGCAGTGTCCCTGTTTACGGGACTGTCTGACCAGTTGTGAAGACTACAGGTGACCAGATTTCTCAGTCGTATCCTCAAATTTCATCTCATTGCTAAGTGTATTTTGTTCTTAAAACCTAAAAGAGGGGGGGCCGACCCTGTGGCGCACTCGGGAGAGTGTGGCGCTGGGAGCGCAGCAGTGCTCCCACTGCAGGTTCGGATCCTATATAGGGATGGCCAGTGCGCTCACTGGCTGAGCGCAGTACAGACGACACCAAGCCAAGGGTTGCGATCCCCTTACTGGGCAAGGAAAAAAAAAAAAAAAAAACCCTAAAAGAGGGGGGGCCGACCCGGGGGCGCACTCGGGAGAGTGTGGCGGTGGGAGCGCAGCAGTGCTCCCACTGCAGGTTCGGATCCTATATAGGGATGGCCAGTGCGCTCACTGGCTGAGCGCAGTACAGACGACACCAAGCCAAGGGTTGCGATCCCCTTACTGGGCAAGGAAAAAAAAAAAAAAAAAACCCTAAAAGAGGGGGGGCCGACCCGGGGGCGCACTCGGGAGAGTGTGGCGGTGGGAGCGCAGCAGTGCTCCCACTGCAGGTTCGGATCCTATATAGGGATGGCCAGTGCGCTCACTGGCTGAGCGCAGTACAGACGACACCAAGCCAAGGGTTGCGATCCCCTTACTGGGCAAGGAAAAAAAAAAAAAAAAAAAAACCCTAAAAGAGGGGGCTTGAGAGCTCCCCGTTCTGGTATTAAGGGGGCCTCAGGTTAGGTTAGGTTAGATGGCTGCTGAGCAGAACACAAAGAACAGAGCCCCAGGGGGGGTCGCTTGTGTTCCCCCAGTAAATACCTTCTCTGAGATTAAGGCAGGGCCATGTGGCTAGAGCCAGTGTCCTCCCTCAGCAGGTTGGAGGGGTGCTCTCCTTCAGCTGAATGGCGCTCCCGAGGCTCACCTGCACAGCCTCAATCTCCTGCCACATCCCAACACGAGTGTACACTAAAGCCTGAGGGGCTGACGGAGCTCACATCCTGAAGCACCCACGGCACAGCCCTGCTAGCTCCAAGGAAGCAAACCCAGCAGAATAACGTTCCTGCCGGTTCATTCCTTAGTCGTTATAGGTGCTGGGGATACAACAGTGAGCAAGACAAACCCGAGTCCTGCTCTCGTGGAGTTCACATCCCATGAAGAAGGCGACTGAACAAGTAATTATAACCATTCCAGAGACAGGGTGAAGGCAGACGATAAAAAAGTAAAATGTGTGGAAGATTAGACAGTGATAAGTACCATGATGAAAAACGGAGCAGGAGAACATGGTAAACAGTGCTGCAGGGAGGGAGAGTACACAATTTTAAATAAGGTCTCCAGGGAAGACTTCACTGAGAAGATACTATTTGAGCAAAGACCTAAAGGAAGTCGAGAAGCAAACTGTGATTAACTGGATATAGTTTGTCCCAGGAGGGGCAAAGGCCCTGAGGCCAGCTCATGCCTGGTGACTTCTGGGAATGGGAAGAAGCTACCATAGCTAAAGGGGCTTAGGTATGTGTGTCCGGGGTGGTGGGGTAGGAGATAAAAGGCCTTGTGGACATTGTGACATTGGCTTCCTCTCTCAGTAAAATGTGGTGCCGTTAAAAGACTTTGAGCAGAAAGATGTGATCAGACATTTTAATACTGCACGTGGCTGTTGTGGTAAGAATTGACTGCCATAGGCAAGAGTGGAAGCAGAGAGACCAGCAGGGACACCCCTGCAGTGCTGTAGGCAAGTACCCATGCCTGCGTGGACCAGGGTCATGGCAGTGGAGGTGATGAGAAAAGTGGCCGGGATTCTTGATACAACGTGATGGTTTAGTCAACAGGATGCCCTGCTGCATTTGATGTCGAGAGTGAAAGATCAGGAGGCATCAAAGATGACTCTGAGGGATTTGGAATTAGCAACGAGACCAGGTTTCCATAGCAGAGACAGGAAATGGCTGCAGGAGAAGCAGCTGCGATGAGGGTGGGAACAGATCTGTTTATGGATGGGATTTAAAGCCCTGAGCCTAGAGGAGATGATAACTGAGGGAGTGCATAGATGCAGAGAAGAGGTCTGAGGCCGTTTAAAGGTTAAAGATAAGGAGGAAGCAGCAAAGGAGACTGAGAGGCGCTAGCCAGGAAGAAGGAAGCAAACCAGGGGAGTGCGAAGCCCTGGAAGCTCCTGCAGGATATGTCTGAAGGAGGAGGAGTGGATTGGCCGAGTCTAGCACCCTGAGAAAATCACTGGTCACCTGGACAGGAGCAGCTTTGGAGGGTGGTGCGAGAGGAAGCTCCACTCAACTGGGTTTAAGAGAGAATAAAAAGAAATTAGAGACAGTGGGCAAAACAACTCTTATGAGCAGTTTGCTTTAAAGGAAATGAGAAAATTTGGGTGATAGCTGGAGGGATAAGTGGGGTCAAGAGAGTTTTGTTTGTTTTTTTGAAAAATAGACATTATACCATGTTTATATGCCAGTGGGAAGGACCTAGGGTGAGGAGCATGGGAGATGCAGGATAGAGAATCGCTGGAGTGGTTTTCTAATGCCCTAGTGGAGTGGCTGACCTCTGCTAAGAGGGACCCTTTATGGGAGTCACAGGTGGGAGGCCCTGTGCTGGGGTTCAGGTGCAGGTGGGAGGGTGGAGGTGGAAGGGAGGCTCTGGAAGATCTCTTCTGATTTTATCTGTAAAGCTGGTGAACTAGGAAGCCGGGCCATTCCTGAGGATGAGGTGGGTGGGAGGTTAAAGTCATCCAGGGGAGGGATGGATGAGGTTGTAAGGCAGCACTAAGCCCCTGCAGACCCCCAGCTGTGAACTTAAAGGATGACCAGTGGCATGGGTTGTGTTTCTCCAGGTGCTTTGAGCTGCATGGTACAGATTCAGAGCAGGGAAGCAAAACGGAGGTAGCTTTACAGCCTCTCCAACACCTGCCGTGGGACTCCCCATGTCTAGTTAGGACAGAGGTCCCTTAGCTCCCTGTGGCTGGGTGGTCCTGACCGGCTGCCATGGGTGGGCAGGGAAGATGAGGGAAATTTCTCCTATGACCCCAGGTGGGAGCTAGGAGCAGTGTCATTCCTGGAAGAGTCTGAGGTCCCAGAGCGGCTCTTCTTGGTCAGGAGTGTCTTGTTAGTCACGACTACCTTCTGCTTTAATGGCTTTATCTCAGCGTCTTCTTCGAAGTCCCTCCTTGTCTCAAGCCCACTTAGTACCTCATAGGCTTTCTCGTAGTATTGAGGCCCCCTGGCTACTTTCTCATGTTTTTCCTCCCCTGTACTTTCAGGTTTGTGGTCTGCGGGCGTTCAGGATGCAGGTGTAAATGGACAGTGTGGCGACATACTCACCGACAAACGCTTCATGCTGGACATGCTGTATGCCCATAACAGAAAGTCTGCTGATGACGAGGACAAGGAGGAGGGCGGGACCGGGAGGACTGAGCAGGAGGCAGAGGCGGTAGCTAGCCTCGCCGCCAGGATATCCACCCTGCAGGCCAATTCCCAGGCCCAGGAGGAGAGCATCAGGAGGGTGGACATGGGCTGCCTGGACAACCGGGGCAGCGTGAAAGCATTTGCTGAAAAATTCAACAGTGGGGACCTGGGAAGAGGCTCCATCTCCCCAGATGCCGAGTCCAGTGACAAGGTGCCCGAGACAGCACCGGGGCAGCTGAAGACGGAGTCCGATTACATCTGGGACCAGCTCATGGCCAACCCGAGGGAGCTCAGAATTCAAGACATGGATTTCACCGACTTAGGGGAGGAGGATGACATTGACGTCCTGGACATGGACCTGGGTCACAGGGAGGCCCCGGGGCCACCACCGCCTCCCCCACCCACCTTTCTGGGTCTGCCACCCCC